TATTTGCTTCTAGTAACACCAATCGAAATATACTGGTGAGAAACTATACTAATAACTATACTAATAAGATACATGCATCTTATTAGTCTTCTGACTAGTAACATTCTAATAACTATACTTATTACTATACTTATTAGTGCAAAAAAGTAATAAGTAATAATATAGTTTGATCTTATTAGAATGATAAGATAATAAGATGAATAATAAGATACCGAAAATGCCCAACTGTAACGCTGCCTATCGGGTTTTTGAAAAATTAACAAGGGGCACTTTTTTAGTCGGTCTTTTTATATTATTTACATGAGAGAAGCTACTCACAGAAGGCGTCAATTGTAATATTTGTGAACTCTGGTAGTAATTTACTAAATTACCACCATTAGGGTAAAGGGTGCCCAATGTGCGGCATGGTGATTTTTGTATGTATTGTATGTGCTTTGCTGTGACAGCCCTGTACAGTATTACCACCAACACTGCGTTGAGCGATAGTAATATTGCTCAGCAAAGCAAATACAATACATACAAAAATCACCATGCCACACATTGTAATGGTGGTAATTTAGTAAATCACCACCAGAGTTAGCAAATATTACAATTGACGTCTTCTGTGAGTATAATTTTTCATTTTCTCTCTCAAAAATGCTTGATAAAAATCAAATTGTATTATATTATATTTATTTAATTAAATTATTTTCGGTGAAGTAATTATTATTATTAATATCGTATAATAGTGTGCGTATATTTCTTAATGTGTGGCAACAAACCAGTGCATACACTAGTAATATATTCATGTGTATTTTAGGCTAAGACTAGAGTCATAAACTATTACTTCCTTTGAATCTATTGCATAATGCATATCTCAAATAACATTGATAATTCCTACTATTATTTGTTGAATAGCCAGAATATATTGATACTCGTAACAATGTCAAGTTTTGTATATGTTCATTCTTACTTTAGTGCAGTTTAAACTCAGCAGTCAACATATATTGACACATATTTCTTTTATTCACTTAAATAAAATATAAATATCTCAGAATATATGTCTTTTTCTTGTCTTGAAACCATTGAAAATCAATTAAATATATAAAATTCGCCATTATTTGATTACAATGCTTTTGAATAACGGTGAATGAATTTGAATAGTTATTTGAAATTCTTAAATTTATTCATTGAAGAAAAAAAAAATGCTGCTACTTGTGTTACTGATTTGCATAATGAGCCCGCTCTTAGTGGTTGACGGCCATCAATGGAACGATCCTCCGAAAGAATTCATTGACCAGCATCCGGAATATCGTAATAAATTAATTTTAGTTGGAACATCAGATGAATTAGAAGAAGCAAAGGGTACTGATAGAAATTTTTTTATTTTTCATGCGATGCCCAATTTTTATTGATTTTATTAAATATTTTAGGAATGTATAAACAGATAGTTACAGCTGTTGGAAGAATGTGGCCATGTTCGTAAAAAAGCAGTTATATACGTGACCCTGTCATCTATTATGGGTTTGATTCAAATTTAACGAACTCATTCCCATATGTTATATCGTTCCTAGTTGCGATACTATACAAGTGATTCGAGATTGTTTCACTGCTGTCAGAGAAGTTTAAGAAATATTCTGAATTATTCTCAACCGCATCAAAGGATTTGGCTGAATTATATTTTTTTGGTTTTACTAATGTATGTTATCGAGAAGATAATCCGATCGTTAGATGTTTAGAATTTGTAAATTTTGGGTTTAATCACAACTACAAACGATGCGTACGTTATGATCTTGATGAATCGAAACTGAAACGATATCAATTTTTTGATGTGCCATATTTCAATATTTCCAATGCAATCGAAGAATTTGCAATAAATAAATTTTTCAATTCTTTACGTGCAAATTATAGTGAGTTTCTTCAATATGTTGAGGAGAGAGAAAAATACACAGAAACATTGAATAGAAAAAACACATTGGAACAATATATTCAGATGAATAATGAAACGAATGAATGTTTTAGCACTTCTGAGTGTGATTTTCCATTTAGGAATCGATATACTCACAATGATGATGTGCAAATTCATTGTGATTGTTTCGAATCGATTCGTAATTGCTTGCATCGTATCAATACAACATTGCCAAATTACCGTGCTAATAGATTTTTCATTTCAAATGGTGAATTTGGCTGTTATAAGGAAGATTATCCCATTATTAAGTGCTTAGAGTACGGTTATAGTTATATTATAAAAAATAGTTATATCGGTTATAAAGAAAAAATAAAACGATGCGTACGTTATGAAATGGATGATTCGAAACCGAAACAGCATCAGAAGTTTGATGTGCCATTTTTCTATGATTCCAAAGATCCTAAAGAATTTAATTTCAATAATGTAGTGACTATGCGCTATGATATTCGTTCTATGTTGGTAGCCTTTATTAAGTTGGTTGCAAAAATAGATATCACATTTTGGTTTCTATAAATTATTATTATTTTCTGTACCATTTGCGTAACAATAAATTTCTTCAATTTGAAAAATTCCCAACCTTGATTAGAAAAGAAAAATTCAACAATTACTTCACCCAAATTAAATATAAAGAAAATGTAAAAAAAACTTTTAAAAATTGAAATAAACAATTTTTCGAGGATTAATCATGCAATTACTAAATTTTAACGCCCTTTTCAAAGAAAACAAGAGAAAATTTGTGGCCTGCCGAAACGGCGGCCCAAATCATGACACTTGACACATTTTGAAATCGTTCAACAGCTAAATCATCTTCAGGAATGTCCTCAATTGATGCTGCATACACGCGATCATTTTCCGCATTGAGAATTGGCTGCAAAAGGAACAACTTCTCGTCTGAAAAAACAATGTTTGAGGTTGCGGCCCGGCTTAGCAGTTCTTTGCATTTTTGCTTTCTGTTTTGCTTATTTTTGATTGTCAAACCATATTTTCGGGTTTTTTGAATGGTTTCACTCCCAAATCTTCTTTCAACACTCTTTGCATTGAAGATCGACTGGTATTGTGCTCACGAGCCAATATTCCGGCGCTTCTTTTGTTATTTCGACGAATTTTCTTTCGTACCTTTTTGAACAGATCTTTTGTACGTACAGATTTTTTTATACCCGGTTTTCGCTTCACATCGACTGTTCCACGTTCCTTGTATCGTTTTATGGTGCGATGAATAAATCTCAAATTGATATTGTCGTTCTGAAGCCGCCGAAAAATATCAACTTGTCGCAAACCTTTTTTATGTAAATTCAAAACTAGTTGACGTTTCACATCCATTGCTATTGTAAAGTAAACAAGAACTGCGCAATACTGTGCATCATCACGGTGGATTGCCAAAACATGAATAAACATAACGGTGAACCAAAGGGAGATTGGAAAGCATTGTAGTTGAAATTACGTAGGTGCAAAAAAAAATGACAGTTATTCTGGGCCACCCTGTATACACGAACATTTAACTCAAACATTCGTCATGTTCATACGCATTATATGTTAATACATCAACCTTAACCATATTGCTCCAAAATCTATCAACACTATTAGTGCGATACTTAATTTGGAATTTGCAATACATATTTCGATTTCATTGATAAATAATATTTAAATAGATGTATTTGTGAACATTTAAAGAAATTTAATAAATCAATCGTATAATAATCGCTTATATTTTTTCTTCCATAATTTTACAGATAAAGATTTAGCATTACAAAATAATATCTTTTTCTAGGACATGAAAGAATTCTTTAAAAGGTGGCACTTGACCTAGTTTCTGTTCTTTGTTAATTATCTTTTATGGTGTATTATTTTATTAATAAGAAATATTTAAAAAAAAAATGCATAAACACAAAATAATCGCATCTGTCCAATATACGATTTAGCAATCAAATTGAGTTAAATGCAGCATGAATTGGATTTTTCCAGAACAGAAAGTCAAGAAACTGAAAAGCAAGTTTAACTGCTACAAATTTTCCACACACATTGTTTGCTCCCATTCATGCAACATTTATTGCGTTGATACCAAAATGGCAATAACAACAAATATTTATAATATGGAGATCAAGTAATAAATGTTGTATATAACCACGTCAATCGAAAAGATCATCAACAAAATGAGATGTAAAATAATAATTTACTATTATGCACAGTTTTCGTCATGGTTTTCGATGACGTTTAGGCATTTATTCGTCACAATTGAGATAGTAGTCCTGTTGAATAATAATGATAGACAGTGTCCGGAAGAGAATAAAAAAGTGTCATATCTGTTAAAGACTATCTGCACAAATTAATTTATTTTTAAACACATCATATTAAATCAACGCAGCATTTTAATTGACATTTCATCAGATTATTAGGAATGTGCAATGCGCATAAGGAAATTTTCCTATATACGGAAAAAAAATTACAAAATCAAACGCAAAAGGTCTTAAGTACGTATTTATTTATTAAATCTAATAGCCTAATGTTTATTGATAATTTAACAACATATTGTTTGTACGTAATTCGGTCAGCTTATAGCATTATATATAATCATCAATTATCGGTCACGAATTGTGCTGTAACGATTTAAATACAACGCATATTCTAGATTTGGTAGTGCGAAATTCTTTTTATGGAACGATTTATTATTTTTATATACACACTTGATAAGTAGATGGTGTCGCCGAGGTTTTGCCTCCTTTTTTATATATGATATAAAGTGGTCAATGTCAATGTTCATTTTTAATAATGCCACAAAAAAATTAATTACTCATGCACTGTAATACAATGTTATCATTAGTGACCCCGCGAAAAAAATATGTAAGGCACAATGACTTTAATCGTGTTACGAGTTTTTTTTTTCGACAAGGCTATTTGGTTTAAAAATATTCGTATTAATTTCGAATATTTTGATTGCTTGATTTAAATATCGAGATTTACATGCATCGTATTTTAAAACTAATTGGACCTCATTGTAGTACATATGTACTTCCGTTTAAAATCACATTCAATCTATTTGTATGCTGCCGTAACGCCTTGGATCGAAGAACGCTTCAATTGATCCGCTAACTCTCGAAATAGCCGCAAACGCAGTGAAACCGGTTACAAATTGATCTGCACTAATGGTATGCCCCATTTTTTGTAACCCTTCGAGAATCGTTGAATTGAAACCTTTTTCGCATGAAATTTCCATTGGCAAGAGTTGGTGATGAATTCGCTTGGAATAAATGGCATCTTTTAAAGATTCTCCCAGCCAAAAGTGCTTCGCAAAAATCTAAATTCATCCAAAATTAATGTGGTTTTGTATAATTGAATAGGTTTTAAGCGGAAATGAAAAATGAGCAAGCATACATATGCAACTGTTGTTATGATTTTCGATCCGCCAGCACTTCCAGCAATAAAAATAGCATTTGAATTTTTGTCGATAACGATAACGGGACACATGCTTGAAAGGGGTCGTTTGTTTGGTGTAATGAAGTTTGCCATGGATGGTTCTAATCCAAAACCATTTTTCTTTCCGGGTGTTGCAAAATCATCCATTTCATCGTTTAAAATGATGCCGGTACTTTTGGAACGAATCTTACTCCCAAATCTAAAGTTATTCAGAATGTTTTAATCAAAAAAAAAAACATAATTATATTTTATAGCTGCATAAATTGGAAACTTACATCGAATTAACGGTGCTCGTAATAGATATCGCATCGCCATTTGCGGACAATACCGAAATATGTGCTGTACCGTGATCAGCTTCCATTGAATACTCCGCACCGTAATGTTTGTAGTCATTAAAAGTACGATCGGGGGAAATTTTCGTTCGAATATCATCAGCTGTTTTCATATCCGAAAATGCATCAATGAATGATTTATTATAATTTAAATCACCGAGAAATGTGCGTTTTGCATAACCATATTTAAAACTTTCAACCATTTTATGGATATATTCAACCGAAAATGACGCGTCGTATCCATTCATGACATTCAAAATCAATGCAAGAATCAATCCGGAACCAGGCAATCCTGTTGAATGTAGTGTGTAATTTCCTTTAAGTTTTGTAGTTACGGGCTCTGCCCATTCCACTTCATAGTTAACAAAATCTTCGATCGTCAAAATTCCTTTAAGCTCTTGAATTTCTTTCACAAGCAATTTTGCTATGGTTCCGTTTCTTGTGTACATTGTATCGGGTCCTTCCTTTGCAATAACTTCCAAAGTTTCGGCCAATTTCAATCGACGGATTTTATCTCCAGCCTTCCATAGATCATTCGTTGCGGGATTCACAAATACTTCTGATAACGAGCTTGATTTGAAAATTGGTTGCCGATACAATTCCAATACTCTTGCCAAATAATCGGTAACGATATGGCCCGATCGACACAATTCAATTGTAGGTTGAATTAAGGTTTTCCACGGGACACGTCCAAATTTTTTGTGTAACTCACCATAGCCTTTGAGCTCGCCCGGAGTAGCTACCGATAAAATGCCGGTAACCGTTGTCATATTTTCAAACATATTCTCGGTTGATGCGAGCGGTGCTCGTTCGCGCGCTAATATAGTATCAACTTTGCCACTCTCTTTATTGTAAACAGTGGCAATAAAACCACCTCCAATGCCCATTGACTGGCTGACTGTGATACCCTCACAAAATAAAATTGATATCGCTGCATCAACGGCCGTTCCATTATGGTCCTTCAGAATTTTCCTAAAGTGTTTCACATGTCACTTGATCATCGCTACGTAAATGGAATGTATAATTTAAATAGCATTTAAACTTACATTCCGATTTCCGCACACTCAGGTCCATTACTAACAATTGCATGACGATTGAATTCATCCGGTTGATCTGCATGTTCGCTGTTTTGAAATTTTAACTGATAAACGAACCATATACATCCGATGATTAGAACGATAAAGGCGGCTAAACTAAATACTTTAGTTTTTGAAATTGGAATTCTGAAAAAAAAATTATCGTTGAAATTTATTCTGAAAATATCATGTTTTGACTTTTGACCTCAATGATAATAGTAAATAAAGCATAGCAAAAATTATCACTTAATTGACCTAATCTTCCAATTCGAATTTTTTATTATTTTTTATTTTAATCGTCTACATCGAAACCATATCTATTCCCTAATTAATTGTGTTTATTGAGGAATTAAAGGTTATATAAAAAAAGTGGGCAATTAAAAGGTTCAAAATGACTTAATTTAACTCAGTCGTTTGATGTGTGGTAAAATGAGTTATTTGTCAGTGCATCACAAACCTTTGGACTTGAGTGGCAAACCATTTAATCCAAATTTATTGCCATTATGAAATGGGAAGAGATTAATGGCCGTATAATTGAAGCACTTGAACGACAACGAATCTTATCAAAGATTTTATTAAAGGGAATAATAAACCAAATCTTTTTTATATTATTCATATATTCAAGAAAGTCATATAAAATGTATCACAATCTCAATTGCTATTTATAAGATGAGCGTTTAATTGCCTATTATTCCCACGATTATTGTTCGCTTTCAAGTGCAACGTCTACTCGTCAATTGCAATTGTTTTTGATGTAAAAAGTAAGTCTTTGTGTTAATAACAAAAATTACAACACTTTTCAGTAAAACGTCAGTTTCACCTTTGAAATCGAAACATTTAATGTAACAAATAAATGTTATTATTGTTAACTTTTTTATATACTTTTCTATTTTCATTTAAAATGCACGAAAATGAGATGTTGTTAGATCGCTCTGATAGTAGATTTACTTACATCATTATCACTTTTTTTATGATCAAATTAAAACATCGGATTAAATAGAAGCATTGAATCGAAGTTCGTCTCTTTTACAACTTTCTTTCAGTATGTTTGTACTTCACAAATTATACTTCAAAATATATTTATAGCGCAGTAAAATTAAGCCTTCTTCTAAATAATCTTCAAATAATGGTGTATTATCTGTTTTATCAACAAAAAGTGAAGTAGATCTGAAAAGTTCCTATTTTCTTTGAAATACATGAAATTCTTTTCTTAATTTCTTAGCTTAAGTTCGATAAATTGAACAGATTAACAGAGTGGCAGTCAGTGCCAGCTATACTACAATTCGCCGAAGTGAAATAAATAAATATGAAAAAACAACTGTTCACTTGAATGCTAAGATGAGAATGAGCTATACCTTAAAACAGCCCCGTCTATATATTTGGAAACATCAAATGATAAAGATAGCAATAATATTTAGTACTAATATTGTGAGGTGCACAATCGACGTATGTGCTAGTATGTAAATTGTTGAATTTATACATACCGATTAGCTGGTTCTTTAACTTTTTAATCAAACTGTGCATTGTACAATAAACACACACAATGCTCGGTTATTTTACAAACACATTCGCACACGGCACAATTCAGACAAACTCGAATACAAATTCATCAGGCATTTTATGTGTATGAATTATTCTCTTGTTGTAATTTATTTAACAATCGCATTGATCACGTGTCAGTTCAAATTAATAAATAAGGTAAAATTTGACAAATAGACAAAAAATAATTGAGATTTTTTGTTCATTCCATTAAAAAAGTGAACATTTCCAATGACATGTGGAATAATTGATAGGATGTTTGGTATAAATGTGATTTTCGACAAAGAAAAATGAATTTTAATTATAATTACAAATTTATCAAGTATTATCAATATCAGCATTCAGAATATCAGTTTGAATCCATTGGCAATGATTACATTTAAAGCAACTCTACAGTACACGACTACAAACGTACACAGAAATTTATTTATACCAAGCAAATTATTAATTTTCACAAAATTTCTTCGAATTGCAAACCAATTCTTATATCTAAATTCCAAGTGAAAATACAATAGTTTATACAAAACAAATAGAACGACCGACTATATCGAATTCAATACTGTCACATGTACCTACTTGATGACAGTTGAAACTGTCATTCTGTCCATCGTACATTGATTTTTTTTCTGCTTTACATTTATTGTTGAGAATTATGATACAATTTTCGAAAGAATTATAAATATTGTATAGATAGTAAAAAATTGATATAAGCATTCATAGCATAGACATTTACATATAAAAGAGGATATGGTTTGTATCACCTCACCAAAGTGTACTTGAACTTTAATTTTGTGAGCAATATTGGGTTTATTATTTTTTAGCAAACAATTTTATACATTTATACATTTATCAAGTCAATTCCAATGTTTCGGAGAATTCAAAAAAAAATATGGTTCATATCTTTTCTTCACAATGTATTTGATTCAGTCAGTTTTGACGGTGAATGAATATTATTATTATTTGTACGATATCTGTGAATGGATATTAAAACCCATCACATATTAAAACCATCACAAGAAAAATCGAGAACTAAATAAATCAGACATTTGTGTTTGTTAAGATAAAAGAAAATGATTATTAATATGAATTTATTCTGCTTTAAGAAACGGGTTTCAATATTTTTGCCGTTATTTAAATTGCGTCTCAAACTGATAATCTAACGTTTTTGTCCTACTTTGAATAAAAGCAAAATATTCAGCACTTCGAAATCTTCCCCTCAATGTGCCTCCGAAAGTGGTGAGTTTACATTGGAAAGCTCAAACAAAAGTGGAGCGGGTATTACGAAGTTTCAAACTTAAATCGAACTGCATAAAAGCTGAAACATTCGCGAATGATATTATGATTTGCACTTGATTTCAAATGTATTAGTTAGGTATTGCTTTTTTGCAAATTGAATATTATTTGTTGGATTGACTGAACTTTTTGTTGCATCCAATGTCCAGTCGTGGAATACGAATGCTCAAGACCATCAATCAAAGCAACAACAATTCTTTTTTCTTGTGCACCATACTTTACATTTGGAATGTTTTAAAATGTTTCTTAACTCTGCTGCATGAAAAATTAAATTGGTGAAAAAGGAAATGTTAAAAAATAGATTGACGTCATGCATCCATTCTGTGCAAAATGTGAAATTTAATTTACAGAAATATGGACGACCGAATGCATAGTGAAACACCACAGGAATAAAAAGTTTACTTGGAAAATACTCGCGAGGAAATATAATTCATATGCAAATGAATCCCGAATACCTTCAGGTTTCGATCTTGTATGAGATGACACTGAGTTTGAGCGCACGTCTGAAAGAAACCATATGCTCAATAGAAAGTCATAGTACTATAGTAAAAAACGCATATGTGACATATTCAGTTCAGATTGTTTTCTTGTTGCTGCTATATTTTTTCTATTGCCATTCAAAGCACAATGAAAAACAACAGATTTAAATCTACTCACATTTTCGAATTTTCTTTTCTCTTTTGATTCCTTTTTATGTGCCATGACTTTCAATTTTTTGCACATTGCTTGTTGTACAGACTTTTTGTCAAACTTATTTATGCTATTAGACGCAAAATACAGTTGGCATTCTGGTTTTTGCTCCTACTGCTGTCATCGTCGATCTACAAAACATGCTTTTATGGAATAAACGCGGTATTTTTTTCCACATATTCAGCCGAAGTTGTTGTGAAATAGGAAAACACTTGAAATGAAAACAGAAAAATCTCCCCTCTCCTCTCGAAAACCCATTTCGTGCTTGAGTTTGCATTCACAATTCAAATGTTTCCAGTCTAACTGCTACTGTCTGTTTGAGTAATGTTGAGTTGTGTGGCCGGATACCTTAAATGACGCATATACACATGCCACATACATAATTTACTACAATGAAAAGCTGTTAAACTACTCCGTGGGCTTTCTGCTTCAATATTTAGATTCATATTTAATATTGCGTAAATCTTAAGTGTGCCATCATTTAAAATTAAATATATTTTTATTCATAAGCCATATGTGAACAAAATGGATATGCACCCAAATGGAAAAAAATATAACTCATGAACTTTTACAATAAATGTGTAGCATTTTTTTCGATTTCTTTTGACAATTCATTTCAACAGTTAGATTCATTTCTAAGTCAGTATGTTGTTTTATTTTCCAGAAACCGGGTAAAGTTTTTGCGTATCAAAAAATATCTTTTTTTTAATTTGTAATTTTTAAAACTTAGCATATCCATGTTCTGCCGAAAAGAAATGGACATCCATCGTAATGTAAAACATAATGTATTCAGAAATTATTTTTTTAGTTAATGAAAAATCTATCAATTGACAAACAACGTCGTTCTTCAAATAATTGCAGATTATTGGAAATTTATCCAGATTATAACGGATATTTTACACCGCCTGCATGGATTATAGACGGATACTCGAAACACTTTGTACGCAAAGAATGCAATCATACTCTGAGAAAACTCAGATGTTAAAATTCAAAGTAATAAGAGAAAAATGCCATTTTAACATGGAGAGGTTTTTAAACATGGTAAAATCTTATTTTACCCGCAACACATTTCTTTGTGAGTAAAACCGCATTTTAACATGTGAAAAAATCTCTCCATGTTAAAATGACGACAAAATGCCATTTTAACATGGAGA